GCAGCAATTTTAATCATGTTTTATAAAAAATTTGCATTAAAAAACAAATCACATTTGACGATTGATAAAATCAATTTATACAACAAAAGGGCTTAATTATCTTTAATTAAAATACACTAATTTATTTATAAACAAGTTTAGTAAAGAAGTAAATAATTATTATTTTTTCTCAAAAAAGTTAATATTTTTGGTAATGACAACATCATAAAATATTTATATTCTGAAAATTAATTTAAACATAGCAAATATTTTTTACTAATATTCTTCCAAAAAATCTAAATTTAATAAATTTGCAATGATCTAAAATACTTTTTATATAAACTGTAATTTGTGATTCTTATTTGGTATCCAAATAGTTTTTTTTTAATTTATTTTTGTAAAATAGCCATTTTAAGCCGTATAAACCACGTGCGAATTTAATTTCGGATTAAATTATAATTTACCTTTTCCACAATTAATTATTTTGCCTTTTTTAATTGTAAATCGCTAATTTTGGTTCCTTTGTAAAGAATTCACTTAAGTAAATGCATTTCATGAGATCAAAGCATTATAAATGTTTAATTTCTTGATTCTCTTAATATAAATTTTATAGATTTATTTTAATTAAAATTGTTAAATTTTTCCATATATAGATTAGACAATTTAATTAAACAGATCATAATCTTTCCAACTAATTATCTTAATTGTATTAATCCTAGAAACAATTAATTTATCAAACATTAAATATAAATTTGCAAATTTCTCTGGGGCAATGAGAATAATTAAGAACTTAGTAGGAATGTTTTTATTGAACTCTTTAATTAATGCCAGTATTGCAGGTATGAACAGGAGTGGAAGGAATGCTGAAAGTTTTAATGTTGTAGGGAGTCGCAATAATGCGTTTTCTAGTTATGACTCATCCTTTGAAGAAACAACCGCGGAAGAAAAATTTAGTGACTCAGGAAAGATGAAAAAGGGCAAAAAAGGCAAGAACTGATCTCTTAATTAAAAGTGTATGAATGAATTTTAACTTCTATTTCAAACGTTCTTTTATATATTTTAATGATTTATATATTATAAATATCATTCTAAACTTATTTTGAAGTTAAACCGTTTTAGCTCAATTGTGTATCTATTTTAACTGAATTAAATGATTATAATACGATAAAGTTATAGATTTTAGTAAATGAAAAAATGAAACATTCTAATATACAGAATTTTACCCATTAAAATAAGATAAAATATTTTAAGGGTTTTTCAAATTATTAAAATTTGTAACTCACATGGG